TGATTTCTTTCGATTAATTTTTTTGCAAATTCCAATTTAAATAATTGAATTCCTGAGAAATTTGTATTATTCATAAAAAGAATTGAATTCTCAAGAAGATTTTTACAAAAATTGTTTTAAACAATTGAATTCTATTTGGAAATTTTATTAAAATAGTAGAAATTGAAAATAATTGAATTGCGAAAAGTTTTTAAAAATAATTTAATTTTACAATGAATTCTATTAAAACTAAAAATAATTAAATTTCCAAGAAAAAATTTCTTACTTTAAAAAATAATTGAATTCTTGTGATGAATATTGTTATTTATAAAGATAATTGAATTTTGCAAAGAATTTTATTAAAATGCCTCAAAATGTCAAAATAATTGAATTTTAGAAAATAATTTTGTTATTTATAGACATAATATTGAATTCTTTCGAAGAATTATTTATGTAAATAATTGAATTCTTGGGAAAAATTTAATTCAAATCTAAAAAATTAATTGAATTATTTAAAAAAAATTTAATTATAATTGTATTTAAAACAATTGATTTCTTTTGAACAAATTTTATTAAAATATTTGAAAATTATTGAATTACTGTGAAAAATTCCAATATGTCTGTAAAATTCTTATAAAGAATTTAAAAAAAAATTTTTTTTTTAAATAATTGACTTTTTCGAGGAATTGAAATTCAGTTTTTAAGAATATAATTACATTTATTCAGTTCGATGTTAATTTTTTGAGTTTTGACCAAATTTGTAAATAATTACATTTTTCGAGCAATTCCTGTAAAATTGTACCTATTAAAAAAAATGAAATCATGAGATGAATTTTATTATTTTTGAAAATAATTTAAAAGTTGATAAGAATTTTCTTGATATTTTTAAAAGTACATGAATTCCTGAGAAGAATTTTATTATTTATGAAATTAATTGAATTATTGCAAAATATTTTATTAAAATGTTTAAAAAGTATTGAATTTCCGAGAAAAATTGTATTATTTATGAAAATAATTGAATTCTTGTGAACGATTTCATTAGAATTGTTTAAAATAATTGAATATCCAAGAAGAAAATTATTACTTTTAAAAATAATTGAATTCTTGTTTTGAATATTGTTATTTATGAAGATAATTGAATTTTGCAAAGAATTTTATTAAAATCCTTCAAAGTAATTGAATTTTCAGAAATAATTTTGTTATTTATCGACATAATTGAATTCTTTCGAAGAATTATTTTTGTAAATAATTGAATTCTTGGGAAAAATTTAATTCAAATCTAAAAGAATAATTGAATTATTTCAAAAAATGTTATTAAAATTGTATTTGAAAATAATGGAATACCTGTGAAAAATTCTAATATTTTTGTAAATAATTGAATTCTTCAACAGAATTTAAAAAAAAAACATTTTTTAAATAATTGATTTTTTTGAGGATTTAAAATTAAATTTTTAACAATAATTACATTTTCCGAGCAATTCCTGTAAAAATGTATTAAAAATTATTGAAATCCTGCGATGAATTTAATTATTCATGAAAATAATTGAATAGTTGCTAAGAAATGTATTAAAGTTTTCAAAAATAATGGAATTTCTGAGAATAATTTTATTATTTATGAAAATAATTGAATTCTTGCTTAGAATTTTATCAAATATTTTTTCAAATAATTGAATTTCCATGAAAAATATTATTATTAGTGAAAGTAATTAAATTATTGTGAAAAATTGTATAAAAATTTTGTTGAATAATTAATTTTTTCGAAATTTTTTTCAAAATGCTATTCTAAATTAATTGAATTCTGGTGGAAATTTTATTATTTATGAAAATAATTGAATTTTGGATAAATTTTACTAATTTTTCTTTTAAATAATTGAATTCTATCGCGAAATTTTATGATAATACTAGATATTGAAAATAATTGAATTTCGAATATTTTTCGAAAATAATTGAATGGTTTTAAAAAATTTGATTTTAATTTTTGAGAATAGTTTTTTTATTTCTAGTATTATCGAATTTAAAGTAGGGGAAATTCTCAAAAAAATGAAATAGTAGCTTTTAGTGGCTGAAATCTAAAAAAAATACCCAAATAGTAGCATAACGTGAAAAAGTATAGTAAATAGTAGGTTTTAGTAGACGAGTGCGAAGCCTGTAATAATAAAAAAAGAACTCCTAATTTTCAATCAAAACATGACTGTCGATAATTTCCCCCCTTCAAATAAATATGACAATGACAATATCAACATATATTTTAAAATATTCTAATCAACAAAATTTCTCTCCGAAAAAAAAGAATTTAAAAAAAAATTCTTTTTTTTTCTTGATTAGTTAAAGAGTATGAGAATCAGGTTTCACTTTTGACGATTGTATATATGTATTGTGGAATGACTAAACGAAACAGTCACTGTCAGAAATCATTTTTCTCTCGCTGCATCTTACATCGATCTTCTTAATTATCGAAAAAGATTTCATTGCTTTTGAACGCGTGCTAAATGTAGAATACATTCTTACGTCATGCAGCTTTGACATATGTGATTAATGGATATTAAATTAAAAGCCTGAATTAATGCAAACAAGATTCGAACACTCTTTGACGATCAAACGTACATACGTATACAAGGAGATCGATCGATCGCTTCAAGTTTGACCATGAAAGAATTAATTCATGTCTTTTGTGCGAGTGGGAGATATATATTTATATATATATGTATGTGCCTTCGAACTCAAATCTTCTTTATATGTAGGTATATTCCACGCCCGTATTTTCATTAGTTAGAAATTTTTAAATATTTCGTAATTTTCTAAAAAAAAGGGTCAAGAAACTTTTTTTTTTGGAGTTTATCTTGTGAAATTTTGCATCTGAATTCTTGTTTCACTCAGGAAAATAGTATTTCACTGAAAGAAAGTGATAAACTTTAATTAGTTTTGATAAAAAATTCTAGAGGCCCTAATGTTTTTGAAACTAAAAATCTGTCGCGAAATTTAAAAATTAAATTAAAATTACACTGAGAAAAAAAGATTTTAGTTCAATAGTGCAACTCTCTTCATTTGAATTAGTAAAAATGTTTACTAATTTGAATTAGTGACTTTTTGCTATTAAATTAGTAAATTTTACTAATAAATTAGAAGAAATTGCTATTTATTAGTAAAATTTACTAATTCAAAGCAAAAGCGAAAAGTGAGTCTCTAATTCAAATTAGTAAACATTATTACTTATTCGAATTAAAAAAGAAATGCTAATAAATTCAATTTTTTGAATATTTTTTGAAAATAATAATAAAGAAATTCTTAAAATTAATTTTTTAAAAATAGTTTTAAATAATTTTTCAAATTGGAAAACTCTTAAACATAATTTCCTTATTAAAAAAAATTATGTTGTTAAATAAATATTTAAACTCTTCTTATTTGTTTTTCCACGTTAAATAAAGTTTTAAAAAAAGACCAATTTAAAACCACTTTTTTTTATCTCTAAATCAATTATTAACTATAATAATCGTCGTATTTTTAATAATTTTCCGAATTCTTTGAGAATTCAATTATTTGAATACAAAAATTTAATTTTTTATAAAAATTTTTAAATAATTGAATTATATTTGAAAATTTTATGAAAATAGTAGATATTGAAAATCATTGAATTGCGAAAAGTTTTTTAAAATAATTACATTTCCAAGAGGAAATTTATTACTTTTAAAAATAATTGAATTCTTATGATGAATATTTTTATTTATGAAGATAATTGAATTTTGCAAAGAATTTTATTAAAATGCCTCAAAATAATTGAATTTTCGGGATTAATTTTGTTATTTATCGACATAACTCAATTCCTTCGAAGAATTATTTATGTAAATAATTAAATTTTTGGGAAAAATTTAATTAAAATCTAAAAGAATAATTGAATTATTTCAAAAAAAATTTAATTAAAATTTTATTTAAAACAATTGATTTCTTTCGAACAATTTTATTAAAAGATTTGAAAATAATTAAATTACTGTAAAAAATTCTAATATTTTTGTAAATAACTTAATTCTTCCAAAGAACTTCAAAAAAACATTTTTTTAAATAATTGATTTTTCTAAGGATTTGAAATTAAATTTTTTAAAATAATCACATTTTTCGAGCAATTTCGGTAAAATTGTATTAAAAATAATTGAAATCCTGCCATGACTTTTATTATTTATGAAAATAATTGAATAGTTGCTTAAAGTAATTGATTAAAATTGTCAAAAATAATGGAATTTCTTAAAATAATTTTATTATTTATGAAAATAATTTAATTATTGCGAAAAATGTTATTAAAAAGTTCAAAAAGAATTGAATTTCGGTAAAAATTTTTGTTATTTTTGAAAATGTAATTAAATTCTTTTTATGAATTTTAATTACAAATTTTGAACTTGATTGTTGTCTCTAAAATGGTAAAAATAATTCTAAAAGTATTTTAATGTTATTATTTTTTCTATCTACTTGAATTTTCGGAAATATGTAATTGAAAATAATGAAAATAATTGAATTTTAATAAAATTAGAATGAAAAAATTCAAAAGAATTACTTTTACGAAATATTTTAATATAATTTTTAGAAGCTATTTGTCATTAATTTTTATTTTTAATTTACTTGTTGGAGACTTTCCATTAAAATTTTTGAGAATTCAATTATTTTCCAAATTTTTGTAATTAGAGTTCCACAAAAATTTATTATCAAAAATTGTAGGTATTAAAATAAAATGCTTGAAAAAATGAATTATTTTCTATTGAATTTTACAAAATTTCAATTATTAAAAATCTTTTTATTTGTATATTTCGAAAATTCAGGTAGAAAAATAATTAAAAAATAATTCTTGAAAGATTTGTCTGTAGTTATTTTTTACATTATAAAAATTGTAATAACTTGCATTTTATACAAAAACTGTGGTATTTTGTTACAATATTTGAAAAAAAAGTCAAAATTTTGCATATTTAAATTATCTTCATAATAAATATTCATTTGTCTAAAGTTCTCGATAATAAATTTTGCTTTTATGATTTCAGGTATACGTAACTTCGTAATAGTGATTGCCCTCAGTAGTGTCGTGTCGGTTGTGTGCATCGAATAATGTAAGTAACTTAATTTTTTCACTTAGTGTAAAACTAAAATTCGTTCATTTACCCGAAAGTAAATATTTAATCAAAAGTCGGTTCAACAGTAAACCAAATGAATATATTCTGATAAAAATCAGTTAGGAAATAAAAATTAAACTTCGAATTGGAAAACAAAGAGGAAAAAATTTATTTCAAACAACCTTTGCCTTTTTAGGCAAAGGTTGTTTGAAATAAATTTTTTCCTCTGTGTTTTCCAATTCGAAGTTTAATTTTTTTCTTCTTTTGTAAATATATATTTTCTTTCTTTATTTATCTTTGAATCGTGCATATTATATTTAATTATAATTTACATGAAAGGACACACTGTTAATATAATAATACCGTATAGTATTATACTGGTGGTAATTATTTTACTAGAATTTTTAAGATTGTACAAAATCTCAGAGACTTATCATCTTGAGGCAAACCCTGTAATAAAAAAAAGGAGTATAATTATTAAAAGTGCATGTGAGTTCTTTCTCTTTCTCTCCTCTATATAGAGAGTGTGGTAGGGAAAACAATGCTCCGAATAGAATGATGGTGTGAGTGTGTATAACGCTTTTGCGGTAATTATCTATAAACACAGTAATTAATGCTTGCTCGGACCCATTTGGGGGTGTATAAGAACGTTTTTGAACTCACCCTCTCGGACCTCGGTTATTATGGCGATTACTGCGAAAGTCGTAATTACAAAAGAGAGAGAGAGAGAGAGAAAGAGCGTTTTTCGCTTTAAAAGAGAGGCTCTCTCATGGTGTGTTATAGTTACATTCTGCTCGATAAGCGAGTCTCACACAAACAAAAGTTGAACATTGAAGAAAATGAGCCGTGCTGCACGTACTACCTGAATCAAATTATATGTACCTCTGATTATTACTTGCCCACAGAAGATAATGAGATTATGTTTTTCTAGTTGTACATAAAGAGGTCGAGGAGCTCAGGGTTCTTTTTTTTCTTTTCTTTTTTTTCACTTTTTAAGCCTTTTTCTGTTTGTTATTCTTTTTTCACACAGTCTTATATAGTTTACTGCGCAAACTATTGTCAGAATTACGTAATGGATTTATAATTTCAAAAGAGTTTGATTTTCTTTGAATAAACTTTTTTTTTAACAAGAAAAACATGAAAAATTTCTGTAGAATTTCACTAGAATTATTCTATAAAATGACTCTACAATTGCCATAGGTCGGGGAAGTCAGAAAATTCAGGGAAAAGTAGGGGGATTTTAATTAAAAGTATTTTAAAAAATTTTTTAAATTTATAACAAACTTCTGAATTTTTCTTTTTTTATGTTTGCCTTAAACTATGAAATCACCACGAATTCTAACACAAAACTTCAATTTTTTCTATTTCTAACAATAATTTCTTTTTAAAGAATACTTAATTTTCGTAATTTTCTCTTAATTCTTTTTTTTAAGAACTAACATTACATTATTACTTGTAAATTATTTAATGAAGAATTTTACTTAAGGAAGAATTTGACGGACAGTTAAATCAAAAGTTAGTCCAATGTCATAATTTCGTAATTTAAAAGAAAAACACAAATTAAATTTTAAATTCGTCTTGATGGAAAGGAGAAGAATTTAATTTTGAATATTTAAAACGATTAAAATTTGCATTTGAATAAAAGTTACAATTTTCTGTCAATAAGAGACATTTAATAAATGTTTAATAACGAAACAAAATCTACTCTATCAAAAATACCTAAATTAAATCATTTATTATTGACAAAAAATTATAATTTTTATTCAAATATAACTTTAAAATGTATTCAAAATTTTTTTTAAAATTTCGTCAAAAATTCAATTATTTGTACCTTTAAATAATAAAATTCTTCTGCAAAATTCAATTATCTTAAAAAATTTAAATAAAATTCTTTGCAAAATTCCAATGATTTTTAAATATTTTCCTCAAATTGAGTTATTTTTAATATCTAGATACTATTTTAATAAAATTTTCCAAAAGAATTCAATTATTTAAGAAAAATTTTGTTAAGATTTTACTCAAACGTTTAATTATTTTCATGAGTAATAAAAATTTCACTAGAATTCAATTATTTACAAAATTTTTTTAAAAATTTCTTTGTAATCATTCAATTATTTTCATAAATAATAAAATTTTTACTGGGTTTTAATTATTTGTGTAAATAATAAAATTCTTTTTAGGAATTCAATTATTTTCATAAATAATAAAACTCACTTCAGAATTTAATAATATTCTTCGCAAGAATTAAATATTGTTAAAAAATAATCAAATTCTTCTTAGGGATTTGATTATTTTTAAAAATAATAAAACTCATCGCAGAATTTCAATTATTTTTATTACAATTTTAATTGAATTTCTGGATAAATGTAATTATCCAGTTATTTAAATATTTTATTTAAATTTTATTTAAATTTATTAGAAATTATTTAATTCTATCGAGAAATTTTATTAAAATTGTATTGAAATGTTTTTGGAGTATCCTATGGAAATTATGTAAAAATAATAAAATACTTTCGAAAAAGTTAATTTAAATTGCAATGAGAATAATTGAATTCAAGTAAAAAAATTTTTAAAAAAGTTTTAATAATTATTGAATTCTTTAGAGAAATTTAAAAGAATTTTTTTTTAAAAATAATTGAATTTCTGTAAAGAATTTTATGCTATGTATAAAAATAATTGAATTCTTGCAAATTCTTTCGACGAATTTAATTAAAATTGTACTAAAAATAATTGAATTTTTTTGAATCATTTTATGGAAATTTTATAAAATAATTAAACACTTTCGACTAATTTAATAGAAATTAAACTGAGAAAAATTAAATTAATATTTTTGTAAAATTGGATTGTGTAAATAAAATTTAATAGAAATTGCACTGAAAATTTGTCGATAAAATTCTTTATAAGAATTCAATTTTAAGAAGTATTAAATTATTCAATGATTTAATTATTTTTTTATTCAAATAATTGAATTCGTATAGACTTTTCGAATGAAAAAAAATTGATTAAAAAATGAATTTCACTTAAACTTCAAGATTATAATTAAATATTAAGAGCATTATAGCCGCAGAATTTTTTGGAAATAATTGAATTTCGAAAAGGTTTGAAATATTTAATATCTTTAAAAATTTGAACTTTTCATACTTTTCACTATAACAATTTGGTAAAATTAATTTTGTTTGAAAAAGTTTAATTGACTTTTTAGAATTGAAATTGATAATTATAATAATAATTGAATTTCAACAAGAAAGGTAGTAAATATTAGGTAGAAATTTACACAATTATTTTTTATAGATATTAAGAGCCTATATTAAGAGTAATTAATTATTTAATTAATTATTATTAAGAGTAATTACCATCAATTAGCAAAGAATTTAGTAAATTTATTTAAAAACGGACGTAATTATTACAATTATAATTAAATTATAATTATAATTATAATTAATTATTATAGAATCTTTTCCTTAATTCTAAATATCCGCTCGTCCACAATAATTAATCTCTGATAGCAATTTACAAATATTTACCGCACGAGAAATTGTCTCCGTTTTATTGATTGAAGATTAACTGTCCGTTAATTATAAGGAGCGTTCTACCAATTCCTGATGAGAAAACTAAAAAATAAATAAAGACCAACGAAAGAAATGGAAACAAAGTAAACTGACTAAATGCTATTCGTGACAGTATTCATTACCTCGTCTTTTAACCAAGATGGAACAAACTGATTGCCCCTAATTACATCTTTCATTAATAATGTTTAATAAAAGACAAGAAGGCAAAAAAAAAACATCCGCTTCCTTATTCCTCGCAGTATAGTGAGCGAGAGATAAAAATAAAAGAAACTCCTTCTGTCGACAACACAGGAAAGGCTTAAGCGAACGATCCGCAAGAACCGCCCCCTCTTCACTAATTACCACTAAAGATCGTAATTAAATCGTTTTCTCGCTGGGTGCACGGGGGCCCATATCAGGGTGCTGCTGCTGCTGCTCCAAGACCTCTCTTTGTCGGTTCTCAAAATATAAAAGGGGCGGCTGAAACAGAGGTTAGAGGTAGAAAAAAAATTTATCCACGGGCCCAAAGGGTGCCCCCGCCTTTTGATTTGAAAAAACCCAAGAGCGGACTTGTTTTATATACACACATCTCTCTCTATATACACGAAAAAGAGTGAATGGTCGAGGGAGGATGTGCGCGCAAAAGTTCTTTCAGACTCTGTTGGCAGCCCCTTTTGTCCACCGGCCGAAACGAAATTAGCTGCCTTCAGCCATCGCTTTGTTTTCAACTACTCTCGGAGAGGCTACGCCTTTAAAAAAAAAAAAGAAAAAAAGAAAGAAGAGAGAAAAAAACTACTTATTACGCTAATTATACGCGGGTGCTTTATCGACACACACCAGAACCCCTGACAGCGACCCGATTACCGCCAACTGTCGATCCACGAGCCTCTCTCTGATCGGCTATTTACCCCCCAGCAAACTAAACAAGCATAGTGTCACCTACTTTTTTTTTGTTTTGTTTTGACGTTACGTACGCTCAAAACCCTTTGCCCTTCGTATTTAGAAAAAAAAAGGATTTTGTTCCCTGAATACACCAATTCAATACTGATATATACCAGCTCTATCGAATTATACTCCACAATCTCATTGTTCAAATGAAGATGTATAAAATTTTTTCTCTCCTAATATTTTTGAACATCCTATTGAGAGAGGGGTTAATATTACCGTTTATTATCGCATATTTACACGTAAGTCCTTTTTTTAATCGACAAAAAAAATTGTGAAGCATTTTCTTGGGGAAAAAAATTCTAATAACAACAGTAGGGCTCGAAGTAGGTTCGTAAATCCCGTAAAAGTCCGTTTTTTTGAAAAAAGGTCCGTAAAGTCCGTAATTTCATTCAAAAAGGATGAAAAGTTCGTAAATTGTACGATATAATTTTGAGAATTTTAGAGAAATTACAAATGATTGCAGAAATTCAAATATTTTTTAAAGTAATAAAATTCTTCACA